AGTGCCATTTCCCAAGACCGTCTTAAGACTTAACCTGCACCCCATCAAGTCTGCCAATTCACAAATGTCAGCACAACTCCCACTTTGATGGACCATTCCGATGCAGGCAATCTGAAGGGGAATTAATGCTCCATCATCGTGAGCGAGATGGTGAGATGAAAGCCACATACTTGTGAGGCGTCGCCTATTAGGGCAATCGTAAGGTTAAGATCAGGTCGAATCGCTTGATATGGCAGAGCAAAGGTAAGGTGACCGAGGGAGGCGGAAGGGAAGGGCGTCGATGGTTCACGTAGACAGCGGTTAGTCATGACATCGCGATTAGTGAGGAGGATGACGTCGCCGTGTGCGTAATGCATTCACCTCACAAATCGCTCAAGGTTAATCGCCACCGGCAGAACGGATGCAGAGAATCCCGTCTCCGCCTTCATAATCTTTGGCAGCACAACCTCTTGTTATGCTGATCCGCAGAAGAGTCTTCCTAGTCGCCGCGACTACGTTGCCAACAGGATTTTTATTATTTACTGCAAGCCTCCGATTAGGAGGGAGGAGGAGGAGGAGGCCTGCATCAACAGCACACAGAAAATATTTCCTCCGCTCCCCTCCACCCTGCAACTAACTCTTCGTTGGCCACGGATGGACAAATCGGAAGTTTCGGTGCCAATCCCTATCGTCAGACCACTGTCCAAACTCGCACGATCAGCATAGAAGTTACTACCCCGCGACCGATGCCGACCAGTGCCGACAAACAACTTCCATGACAATTGAACCAACTTCCTATTCGTTTTCACTCAGTACTGATTGTGATGTAATTGTTGGCACGCCTGCGACTAGACGTTCGGTCACAAACTTTACTTGCGGTTACTTGAGTGGGCACACACTGACGCATCCTACTGACCTGCTCTCTGTGTCAGGTCAAAGGCCACCGTTTCGCTTTATTTTGATGAATAAGAACACGCCTTTCCAGCTTTCTGTCATAGAAGATATGTGTCGCCAGAATGGGTGAAATGGAAGGAATCATTGCCACAACTGAAACCACAAGAGATGAAGCAAGAGGTGCTAGTCAAGATGCAATAACGCATGCTATCACACAGCTACTCTCGACACTTCGGTCAAGCATACCATACAATGCGACCTACTGCCATAACCAGTGAAAATACATGCACAACATCAGATTCTCAGCTTAGCCATTGAAAC